TTGGGTCATGGTTCCGAATACCATGGGTGTAGTCACTGGAATTGCTGTTCAACGTGACTAATACCCGATTGGCCGGAATTAATTTTTATAAACGATTAAAAAATGAGACTTTTTTAGATTTCTTCCGCTTTGTACTAGCTAGTGATTATACTTAACTATTTTATTTATTTATCCAACCAAAATATCATATTATTCAAAATTTCGCGTTAGTAGTAAGAATAGTTTACTCATTTTTTGTTTTTTCTTTTACATCTTTCTCTCGTTTATTGTTTCGCATTCATTTTTATATCGATATTTGTATCGGTTTTTCATCAAAAAATAAAATTTTCATCCACTGCTAAAATCATACCAATGAACACAAAAGAAGTATATATGACTGAAAATGTATATATTTTGCATAGTCATGATCTTAAGGGCGGGACGTATATGATGTCGTTTTGGTCTTTTTGAATTTTTTATGCGAAACCCAATTGAATGATAGATGGGAAAATGATTACAAACTCTTGATTATATTAATGTCACATTCAACGTATTTTGAATGGATTATGGATGTGCACGGAGTCCATCTTCACCATATTTTGAATGATTAGAATAGGGGTGGTACGACCGGGAGGGGGGTGTTGGGGATGTAGCACGCTCTCCCTTCAATCTTTCGAAATTTCTAATTTTTGCTTAATAAAATCGAAAAATCTTCTTAGGTTTGTTACCAAAGATAATGCTATACCCTTCAAAAAATCGCAAAATTCATCTATTTACTCCAAAAAATTTTACTACACCCCCTCCCCTCGATGTTGGATGACTCGCGCTACCTCTGGATTATAGCACTACTGATACTAGGTGAGATTGTACAAGTGGATATTTTTCCCTTCATCGTCCTCATACATCATTCCTAAATCTCATCATTAATATCTTCGTCTAGCACCTAAGCAAACAAGATTTAAAAAAAGCATCTCTGCACAAATAACGCAATGCAAGCGTCGCTAAGCCCTCTACCGAAAGGAATACTACTTAAACAAAGTTCGATAGCTTTCTTGTATAATTACGAATTAGAATCTATTATTTTATGCCTAATAAAAAGTTGTTTTCATTCGTACGATAATTGTACTTTTGAGTTAATTGACATGAACAGTGTTTAGTCCTCTTAGAAATCATACTAATCGAACGTCGTCGAGTGTTATACTTCAAATAATTATTCTGGCCACTGAGTTAGCTATTGTTTCTCTCATATAAGATTGAATAAAAAGCGAAACTTTTCAAGTGTGGGTGTGAGTGTAGACATAGGTGAGCGAAGTATCCAACACCCATACCCATCATCAAGCTATGATATTTTCAGGGTTCATTAAAATACAAGACATATCTTGCAATGCTTACAAATTTATTTTCTTCATAATAATATCCTTAAAATAGTGATTGTATCAACCTTTTCGTAAATCTGACCTAGTACCATAATAGATCCTAGAATTTACCTTTTTTTCGTGGTTTGAGTATGTATTCAAAACTCTTCTTCACATAACTCGTTTAAGAAAAATATTAGATAGAAAGCTAAATAAGTGATACAATTAACAAAACTCAAAATCATATTATACAAGAAAGAACAAATCAAAATAAAGTGACAAATATTTAGTTAATTTTAAAACCAATGAAAAATTGATCGAAAGTCACATTTGATATTTCTTCGACATTTTTTCTTCAAAACTTTCGTATTCATATAAAACTAGATAGCATCTGAGTCAAGGCTCTATCGAGATATCGAGAATTTAAAATAACATAGTTTGTTTGTTACGTTTTATTTGTTTCAAACTACTTCTTTGTTGACCAAGCAAACGGCCAGTGAAACAAAAGAAAATGAAAATTGAAAGATATATACTATCTTTCAGAAGAATACAGAAAGAAGACTAACACAGACAAAAAAAAACATTGAAACAAAAGAACATTAAATAGTACAGAAAATGATCAAGTTATCTTGGTTTTCTGTTCATTTAAACTTTTTTTAACATTTGACTTAGAGCGACTTATGAATTTAATGATGGAATGATATAAAACAAGAAAATAGATATATATGTGTATAAATACTGTAAAAGAAAAAAAGTCAGCAGTTTAGAATATATTTATAAAGATAACTGACATAAATCGCATTGATTTAATACAGGAATACAAAACAGATACAAAACAATAAAAACCAATAGTTTTGCTTTTTTGTTTTAAATAACCGTGTTTTCTACGAAATTTGCTGTTGCATCTTGTGAAAAATCTTCTTTCACAATGTGTAACATTTGATGATCTTCAAACAAATCTTTTTCATCTGTATTCAACGTACAAAATGTACATGTATAAATATCTTCATCATTTACAGGTAAATTATGATGTATAACATGTTGTTCAAACGATAGACGATTATCATTTATATAGGGACATGATGAACAATAATATGTTGATATATCCATTGTATGTGTACTATTATTATTTGGATCATCTTCATGTTTATTACCATTTTCATGAACTAAAAAATTCAAATCGATTTAAAAAGAATGAAAAACAAAAAATCTAAAATTATGAACATACTTAACCATTTTTTAACAATAACAATAACATCATCAGATTTCGTAAGTATTAATGGTTCAAGAACATTTGTTAATGATGCTAAACTACTACCATGAGTCGATATCATATGTTTACGTATACTTGCACGCCATTTCGATAAGAAAAACCATTGTGAACATTGAAAACCATCACCACAATGAAGTTCAGATTGATGATGAATATTCGATAGATTTGTACATTTATATGGGCATGCAGAACATCCATTAAGACATTCTGGTCGAGTTGATTGAGAAAGTTCGATGAATATTTTCATGAATTGCTGATATTTTATTTGTACTTGAACTAAGTATTTGTTGTTCATTCATTTCATTGAATTCATTACTAGTCGATAATAATGATAGTTGATTAGCATTAGTAGTTAAATCAAGATCAAGATCAATTACATGATCAGAATGATCATCTGGATGCATACGTTTTAAATGTTTTTTAACATTACGTTCAATTTAAAAAAATTAATTCTATACTTGACCTTCTCAGGCAGAAATATGTAAACATTTATATCGTTTAACTACTGGTGCTTTTTCAGCTTGCAATTGTTGTTGTTGTTGTTGTTGTTGTTGTTGTTGAAGCAGTTGTTTATTAGATAACTGTCCAAGTAAAGTAGCAAGTGATGCAGCAACATTATTATTCATTAATGATGTTGGTAAATTTTCTAAGAATGTATTTGTTGTATTTGTTTTTCTTGTTACTATTGCTGTATTTATTAATGTTTAAGAGTACGTCTCTGAGAAATCCAGATGATCGTGAAAGTTCTACC